GCTTTTGTAAATATTTTTATTATTTATTTTGTAAATTAATTCTAAAAAAAAAAATTTTAAACGAATCCTGTTTTTAATAAACAAAAAAGTGTTTTTATTTATTTAATTATAATTATTTTATAATAAATAATAATAGTTTTAAATGATTTAATAATAATAATAATAATAAATATATTATAAAAAAAATTAAATAAATTTTTCATTATTATTATTTTTAAATCCGAGAATTTTTTCATTTCCTTTTCCGAAAATAATTTTCTTTTTTTTCAATTCAAAAATTTTTAAAATATTAATAATAATGTGAGAAAGAGAGAGAGAGAGAGAGAGAGGGTGGATGAGAGGGGGAAGGTAGGGTGGTAAGGGACGTAGTCATCGGAAAACAAAAAAAATTTTTCTTTTTGTCTGTCCTCCATTAAATTTTTCCTGTTGTCAGATCTCAATTGAATAAATCGTTTGCTCACTTTTAGTTTATATTCAACCACACCCCTAATAAAGACTCGGGACATAATATAACAAATAGGATGATGCATTTGGTTAGACAATAAAACTGGAAATTTTATTTATTTTCTACCCTATGGGGATGAAATTTTCATCCCTTCTCAAAATTATACCACTATAAATACGGTACATCTATATATATATAAAAATGTTCTCTTACATAAATACGCATCCTCTTTTTTTTTCTTTTTAAATTTCATTTTAGTAAAAAGCGTCATGTTTTCTTTATTCTTTTTTTCTCATTGATTTTGATCACGAAACAGTGACGTATTAAGGTTTTTAAAAAAAATCACACGTAAATAATTTTTCTTTTTATTTAATTCGAATTTTTTTTTTTTTTTTTTACGATTTTACGATACATTTTTGTACGATTCCTATCCTATCACCATTTTGTCATAAGGGTAATAATTTTAATAAAAAAAATGGGGAAGGAGGAAAGGGGAGGGGGTAAATGACGAAACGGGAAATTTAGAGAAAACAGGAAAACCTTGAAAACCTTGAAAAACGTTAAATGTCATAATGAAAAAAATTTTTTTTTGGAAAATTGTTATCAAAAAAAAAATTTTGGGTTTTTTTATTATTAAAATAATAATTATTACCTTATTTATTAATAAATTATGTCGATAATAATTAATTCAATACGTTTTGATTTAATTATATATATATATATATAATGATGAATGACTAACGAAATTTTTTTTCTTTCGGGGGGGGAGGAGGGAGGGAAGTGAAGTAAATTTATTACTAATTTTAATAATTTTGAAAAAAAAAAAATTTTTTTTTTTTTATTATTAAATTAAAATTAATAAATTTTTATTAATTCTTAATTTGCTTTTGGCAGTCAAAAAAAAAACTCAGAGGCATAATAAGGTTTATGTCATGTCATACACAATCTTAAAAGCACCCCCTCCCACAAAAAAAAAATTAAAAATGGCGTCAAATGAAAGAAAACAAAATTTTTGCTTATTTTTTTCGATTTCATTTAATTTTATTATTATTATCATTAAAAAAAAAAAACGGAATTTTTGAAACAATATGGCAGATTTTTTTTTTTTGGAAAATAAAATTAAAATAATGTTGACGGATAAATTTTTTCTTCTGCTTTTTTTTTTCTTTTGTTGTTAAAAAAATCAAAAACAAAAATTGTTTTTTTATTAAAAATAACAACGATGAAATTTTATAAATTTATTATTATTATTATTATTAAAACATTTATAATTTAATGCGTAAAAAAAAATGATGATAATAATAATGATAATAATAAAAGTCGTTGGTCGATTTCGGTTGCGAGATTTTGAAGTGTTGGTTTTTTTTTTTATGTGTGACTAACAAGTTTAAATAATTTTTGATTTGTGAAGAATGTCGGGAGTTAATAAAACAACGGATTTATTATTATACTTTTTTTAAAGTTGTTTTCATTAATTTATGAATATTTAAAAGTGTTAAACCGGCCCTGACATTTCACACCTTTTCCAAAAAAAAATGAATTTTTTTTTAAAATTTATAACGAGATCGAATGCATTTCACCCTGGAGAGTTGACTGGAAAAATCAACCTTGATAAAGGTTTGTAGCAAGAATGATTATGATAAGAATCCTTTCGATAAAGTTCGTTCGGTTGGTGTCACCTTTAAAAAATTTCACGTTTTAGGAATTTTTATTTTGGCACCACTGACTAAAAGAAAAAATTTTCGATCATTATTCTCTCTCTTTTTCGTGTTAAAAAGGGAGGTGCTAACGCCATTAATTTTGACTTTCCTTATATAAACACCTACTAATTATTGAACAGTTAGAAAATCTTGGGGTATAAATAAATATTTGACCTGAACGCCATTTTGTTTTATTTTTTTTGGAGAAAAACTTTTTTAATATCAGGATATATAATTTCGTGTGTAAACAATTTTTACCGCCCTTTTTTTTTTTGTTTATTTAAAAATTTTTTTTTTCGAGCAAACGATTAAAATAAAAATTTTATTTTGTAAAGGATACGGCACTGATTTCAAC